TCTTCTGTGAAACCTAACGACTATTATCCTACTGCAGTCAAACACTAGAGAATTCCACTGCAGTTTGTCTTACATACACTAAACTAAACTCCTTAATTCAGTTCTGTAGCACGACTGGATCAGGGTAGCGATGTTGACTTGCTAAAACGACAGTGTAATAATTAGGGGTCCGGGTTCGAATCTTGCCAGGGCCTATATTCATTAAACCGTTCTCCATACTCAAACTCAGATTCTGTCCTCAATTCAAATTTCTTGTTCCGAGGATAAATGAATAGCCTTTTTGGGTTTTTTTTAATATTTGAGGAATTTTGGAGATATTTTAAGCCGAATATTGATTTCAATGTTTAAACATGACCTTTTGGTCGTGTAACATGATTTGTGCGAGTTGCAAAACAGTACGTTTTATCACATGATCCGTGATTGAGCATGAGAATGGTTTCATGAATGCGAGTCCAGGCCCGTATTCATAAAAATGTTCTAATGCTCAAACTCAGATTTTGTGCTCAAGCCCAAATTCGTGATTTAGTGATAAATCTTCCATATTTCACAATTTGACAACAAACTGGAAGAGTTTAGGGGGGACTTGAAGCAGAATATCGTTTTCAGAGTTTACACCTGACTTTGTACCATGACTTTTAAGCGAGCTAGAAGAAAATTTGTTTGATCATAGAATTATTTCTTGAGCACGAGAATGGTTTCATGAATACAGGCACTGGTATGACCTGTAGTATTACTTTTACATCAATAATACTGTTGCTGTTGGGGGGGNGATTTTTCAAAGCTATCCTGTCCCGTAAAAAGTACTAAGCGCATCCTTACTATTTCTGACAATGGTGTGGATCCTTGGAGTGTTGAGTTGTCAATGTTTACACATATACCTTACACATTATAAATTGTCACTATTGGCAAAGACCCGGGTGACACTTTACGGGGCAATTAATGCCTTAAAGTGGTCCGATGTTGTTAACATAACGTTTGGTTTGGTTTGGTTTATTTGTGCTTAACGTCCTATCAACAGCGGTGGTTATTTAAGGACGTGTCAGGTTTTGGTGGTGGAGGACAGCCGGAATTCCCGGAGAAAAAAACACCGATCTACGGCCAGTGCCTGGCGACTACCCCATGTAGGTCTCGAACCCACGACACAGTGGTGGAGGGCTTGTGGTAGCAGAATGTCAGATGCCTTAACCACTTGGCCACCGCGCCCCTTTAAACATAGTGATATCGTGTGACTTTATTATGCATGAGGAATAGCAAAAAAAGGCATTAAGAGAATGTCGATACATTCAAAATCAATAACGTTCATTGTAAATACGAAATGATTAACTGAGTGTCAGAAATGAACAATTTGGCAAGATGATTTGTTTTATATCAATAACATGATGATGTTTACATTAGCACAGGGTCGCCATGAAAATACCAATACATCCAGGATACCAGGACTTAGCATTGGGTTCGTCCCGACTTCCGGGGACTTAGTCACTTGGCTTTATCGTAGAAACGACTGAGATATCTTTCCTAAAACTAAATAGATTCCTTTCTGATAAGGCGAGCAATAATTTCAATATGAACAATAATTGCTTGTTTATTGCGAGAGTATCGACATTTTCGACGCTCATTGCTCACAACGTCATCAAATAAACATTAAAAACGATGTTAAATCAGCGCTTGATATTCACATACGAATATTAAGCGTCGACGAATCGATGCTTACTTAATGTTCATTTGAACAATGAGCGATACGTAAACAATAAGCGATTTTACAAAGCCTTCAATCCCGATATCTAGACTTCCCTCCCAGAAACCTTCAGTGCGGACGACGATATCGATGCCGACACTATCGGAGCGATACGTTTATGTGAAGTTTGCTTTGGGCGATACAAAAACCTGTGTATTCTGAGACCCTGTCTAATCCAAAGCATGTATTGAGTTAGTAGAAATAAGAGGGTGTTGGGCTAGACAGGTTTTACCGTAGTTCTATTTCCATTGATGTGAATGAATGTGTGAAAGAGCCTGTAAATGCTCTGGATTGTCCAAGGAATTTCGATCAATTCTTTTTCCGTTGATGTGTGACTAATTATGGACTAAAATACCAGGCTTGACAGTGAAACATGTTTATGTAATATTCTTAATAGAAGTACAGGTCTAATTAGTACGAGCAATGTAAATGGGAATTGATTTTGGCGATTCGGCGGACCCACATGAAGATCGTCAAAACTAGCATCGTTGAAAGTAGAAATGAATGTCTACCATAGGAGATACATTGTACTTGATTGTATTGCATGTAATTATGTAAGCTGTTGACAAATACCATAGGAGATACTTTGTACCTGATTGTATTGCATGTAATTATATAAGCTGTAGACAATAACCAGGCTTGACAGTGAAATATGCTTATGTAATATTCATAATAGAAGTACAGGTCTACTTATTACGAGCAATGTAAATGGGAATTGATTTTGGCGATTCGGTGAACCCACATGAAGATCGTCAAAATTAGCATCGTGTGAAAGTAGAAAGTAGAAATGATGTATTGTATTGCCTGTATTGGAGATATCTACCATAGGAGATACATTGTACCTGATTGTATTGCCGGTATTGTAGATATCTAACATAGGAGATCCGTTGTACCTGATTGTAATGCCTGTCCTGTAGATATCTACCATAGGAGATATATTGTACCTGATTGTAATGCCTGTGCTGTAGATATCTACCATAGGAGATATATTGTACCTGATTGTAATGCCTGGACTGTAGATATCTACCATAGGAGGTACAGAGTACCTGATTGTATTGCCGGTACTGTAAATATCTAACATAGGAGATACATTGTCCCTGATTGTAATGCCTGTACTGTAGATATCCAACATAGGAGATACATTGTACCTGAGTGTATTGCATGTATTGTAGATATCTACAATAGGAGATCCATTGTCCCTGTTTTATTGCCTGTGCTGTAGATATCTAACATTGGAGATACATTGTACCTGATTGTAATGCCTGGACTGTAGATATCTACCATAGGAGATACATTGTACCCGATTGTAATGCCTGTACTGTAGATATCTACCATAGGAGATACATTGTACCTGATTAAATTGAATGTACTGTAGATATCTACTATAGGAGATACATTGTACCTGATTATATTGCCTGTACTGTAGATATCTACCATAGGAGATACAGTGTACCTGATTGTAATGCCTGTACTGTAGATATCTAACATAGGAGATACATTGTACCTGATTGTAGTGCCTGTACTGTAGATATCTACCATATGAGATACATTGTGCTTGATTTTCTTGCCTGTAATTATATAAGCTGTAGACAATTACCATAGGAGATGCATTGTACCTGATTGTAGTGCCGGTACTGTAGATATCTACAATAGGAGATACATTGTACCTGATTTATTGCCTGTGCTGTAGATATCTAACATTGGAGATACATTGTACCTGATTGTATTGCCGGTACTGTAGATATCTACAATAGGAGATACATTGTCCCTGATTGTAATGCCGGTACTGTAGATATATACCATAGGAGATACATTGTACCTGATTGCATTGCATGTATTGTAGATATCTACAATAGGATATACATTGTACCTGATTTTAATGCCGGTACTGTAGATATCTACCATAGGAGATCCATTGTACCTGATTGTAATGCCTGTTCTGTAGATATCTACCATAGGAGATACACTGTACCTGATTATATTGCCTGTACTGTAGATATCTACCATAGGAGATACATTGTCCCTGATTGTAATGCCGGTACTGTAGATATCTTCCATAGGAGATACATTGTACCTGATTGCATTGCATGTATTGTAGATATCTACCATAGGAGATACATTGTACTTGATTGTATTGCATGTATAGTAGATATCTACAATAGGAGATACATTGTTCCTGATTGTATTGCATGTATTGTAGATATCTCCCATAGGAGATACATTGTACCTGATTGTAATGCCTGTGCTGTAGATATCTACCATAGGAGATACATTGTTCCTGATTGTATTGCATGTATTGTAGATATCTACAATAGGAGATACATTGTACCTGATTGTAATGCCTGTTCTGTAGATATCTACCATAGGAGATACACTGTACCTGATTATATTGCCTGTACTGTAGATATCTTCTACAGCAGACAAATGGTCTGATCAATTTCCAATTATGAAAAGTTCTTTTTGCACAACCAATAAAATGTGTGTGAAAAGAACTTTTCATAATCCATACTTACCAACATGAAGAAAATGTTAAGAAAGATCAATTTCCAAACTTTAGGCCGCGAATCTTTATAAACTCAATTTCAGGATAAAATTCCACATAAAAAACACATTTTGATGCCAAAATTACTGATTTTTGGTTTCTAAAATGACGTTAATTCACCATGATGTGTAAGCGTACTGATTCAAGTTTATAGCTGGTGTTCGTATATTTTATCACAGATACCTTTATCTTTTTCTAAACATTTTATTTGATATTTAAAACAACAGGACCTGATCTCACATACATGGTAATATATCAGAATTTCAAGTTTTGTAGAGGTAACTCGATGTAAAATGTAATAGTTTTTCATTCCAAATTCATACAGTTTGAAAATTCACGGGAGCAATTTTTTAAACAAAGGTCAAACGAATCGTTTTTCGTAAAGACTTACTTTAAAAATCATTTGCGGTTTTAACAGCAATAAGATTACTGCCTGCAAATTTACACCAATAGTACGGGCGAAATTATGTAAACTATTTATATGATTTATATCTTAACCGGCTATTATTATTTAAACTGGCAACAATTTCCTTCAAAACTTACGTAAAATATAGACATTCTGAGAAGAAAAATCATGCCGTGAACGAATAACTGTAAATTTGACTGTTTTAATGTGAGAAGACTTTACAAAGGACTTGTCGATATTTAATACATAGAAATAGTGGCAGAATATTCATGTCAAATTGCAAAATATATCTTAAATTTAAAGAACAGAAAACTTACCTCGATCAACGGGGCAGAAATCCCAAGGAGAACCCAACGCTAGACGGTGATGCTGTGAATACCGATGTCATTTAAATATCGACTTCATTAACTATGGCCATGTAATAAGTGGGGGCAGTCGAAAACAACCAATCAGAATCCTTCTCATTCATCGCCGCACGTGAGCGTTGACGCCAAAAGTCTCACTCGTCACAACAACAATAGCTGGTACAATGACCGGTCTACGCGGTGAAGATATGTCTCTCTGTTAACAGAGATATTGACAGATGATGGTGGTATGCTGTGACTTATAAAGGAACGATGATGTCAGCGTTACTGTTGTTTACACCAATACAAGTCTAATAACGTGTCCACCAGTACGACAAACAATGGAATATAGATAGGCGAAGTACAAGTCTAATAACATTGTCAAACAGTACGACAAACAATGGAATATAGATAGGCGAGATTGATTTTTGTGCTACACTTTACACCAGGATTGTCTTTGGCTGTCAATTGTCTAGCTTATCAATAAATTGGAATTTTTTAAAATATTTATTGTAAAATACTGTCAAATATAGATATTAAGTTATTAAATATCTCTCTTTAATATCAAAACTGTGTATTTCTTATATAACAAATGGAATGTTGACAACCTAACGTAACACAAATATGTATCACAGTGTTGCCCTTATACTGTTGGTGCTTTGTGATAAATTGCAGATTATAGTGATTGATTCAGAGGCATCTTTTACAGATTAGAAAAACACATTTGTCAGTAACTTTATTGATAGCAAAACAAACTACATATGAACAAACATCTGTCAATGTTTAGCGTTAGTATATGGCACCGCTATGGTGAACCCAATATTGCAAAGTGTTTTTATAACCAATGTATCAGTCTGTATTACCAGAGCCGTTAGTGGTATCCCAGACGCGACTGTAAGCGTTACCCGAACCAATGTGTCAGTCTGTATTACCAGAACCGTTAGTGTTATCCCAGACGCGACTGTAAGCGTTACCCGAACCAATGTGTCCCCACATATTTGTATATAATCCGAACCGTCAGTATTACCAGAGCCGTTAGTGTATCCCAGACGCGACTGTAAGCGTTACCCGAACCAATGTATCAGTCTGTATTACCAGAACCTTTATTGGTATCCCAGACGCGAGTGTTAGCGTTACCCGAACCAATGTATCAGTCTGTATTACCAGAACCGTTATTGGTATCCCAGACGCAAGTGTAAGCGTTACCCGAACCAATGTATCCCCACATATTTTGTGTAATCCAAGTTCAAACGTTAATGTAACCCCAACCACCAGCGTTATCCTAATTATCAATGCGATGCCCAATCGTTAGTGTAATATTAACTGAAGGAGTAACCCTAGCTCTCAATGTTACCCCAACTGTTAGTGTAGCATTAACTGCAAGTGTAACCCTAGCTCTAAGTGTTACCCCAACCATTAGTGTAACATTAACTGAAGGAGTAACCCTAGCTTTCAATGTTACCCCAACCGTTAGTGTAACCTCAACTGCAAGTGTAACCCTAGCTCTAAGTGTTTCCCCAACGGTTAGTGTAACATTAACTGAAGGAGTAACCCTAGCTCCCAATGTTACCCCAACTGTTAGTGTAACCTCGACTGCAAGTGTAACCCTATCTCTAAGTGTTACCCCAACCGTTAGTGTAACATTAACTGAAGGAGTAACCCGAGCTCTCAATGTTACCCCAACTGTTAGTGTAACCTCAACTGCAAGTGTAACCCTAGCTATGAGTGTTACCCCAATCGTTAGTGTAACATTAACTGAAGGAGTAACCCGAGCTCTCAATGTTGCCCCAACTGTTAGTGTAACCTCAACTGCAAGTGTAACCCTAGCTCTCAGTGTTACCCCAATCGTTAGTGTAACATTAACTGCAAGTGTAACCCTAGCTCTAAGTGTTACCCCAATCGTTAGTGTAACATTAACTGAAGGAGTAACCCGAGCTCTAAGTGTTACCCCAACTGTTAGTGTAACCTCAACTGCAAGTGTAACCCTAGCTCTAAGTGTTACCCCAATCGTTAGTGTAACATTAACTGAAGGAGTAACCCTAGCTCTCAATGTTACCCCAACGGTTAGTGTAACATTAACTGAAGGAGTAACCCGAGCTCTCAGTGTTACCCCAACCATTAGTGTAACATTAACTGAAGGAGTAACCCTAGCTCTCAGTGTTACCCCAATCGTTAGTGTAACATTAACTGAAGGAGTAACCCGAGCTCTCAGTGTTACCCAAACCGTCAGTGTAACCTCAACTGCAGTGTTATCCTAGCTCTCAGTGTTACCCCAACCATTAGTGTAACACCAACTGCAAGTGTAACCCTAGCTATCAGTTTTACCCGAACCGTTAGTGTAACACCAACTGCAGATGTAACCCTAGATAAAAATGTTAAAAATGTTACCCCAACCGTTTGGATAATCCAAATTCAACCGTTTAGTGTAGCCCCAACTACCAGCGTTTTCCTTGGTATCAATTCTACCCCCAATCGTTACTGTAACATAACATGCAGGTGTAACCCCTTATCGTCTAGTGTCATCCAAAAAACCCATTAATATAGCCAAAATTCAACGGTTTAGTGTAAGCCTAACTATCGGTGTTACCCAGACTATTGATCTTACCGTTACAATAATCAAGTTCTGATGTAAAATCAAGCAATCTCTAAGTGGTTCTTAAGAAACTGTTAATATCAAACCGACTTTGGCACAGTGTCCGCCGTAGCTGGTCTCACGTCCGTGTTGAGAATGGAGGAATGAGGATATACCTTCGGACAGTCATTCCTGTCGGCCTTCTACAGATATACCGTCATACCATTTTGACTTATATGTTGGGGCAGTTATAACCGAAACAGTTATAACCGAAACAGGAACCTATAGCAACCAAACCAACCAACAAAACTACAAACAGGTGAAACATCAATGGCGAGATTGTACAGCCCTGATATTATCAAGAACTAACATAAGGCAAGGTATTTCTCTGATTAAGCATCAGAAACCCCGTAAATATTCTTAAAAGTTCGTATATCGTGTTTATTAATCCGTATGCTCCGTTCATTTCCCAGAGAGTGACACGTTGGAAACTGTTAATAATCATTGCCTCACTTCTCTGCTGGATTTCGTCGAAGTCAAATTATTTCAATTAACACTAAACCAGTGTTTTATGTGATTCCAATACACGTTAAAAGATATTCTCGCTTTCTTTCACATCTGTAAGCATAAAGGTTTGCCGAAGTGGCATCTGTTCTTGGCCAGATGTTTTCACCTGCCGACACATACCCAGCTCTTACACGTGCTGGGATTACATCCCCAAGCATAATCCTACGAAGGCGTCCTGGTCGAGAGGACCCGGATGCTTCGCGGCGGTTATTTGGAGGCGCTGGAGACTCTCTCCTTACCCCTGATTTTATTAAGACTGTCACTCAGTTACCAAATCTTAAACCACCAAACGCAGAGATGACAGAAGACTTGCTGGCAGAACTTATTTGATTCGGTAGAAATTGACTCATGGTTTTGACGGTAAAACCTAGTAACACCATTAGCACTCCTATAGACATTAACCAGCAGCATGATGTATGCATTTACTTTTGATTTGTGTAGCCTTATAAACCTTAAAAACGTTTGATTGATTAATTAAAAAAAAAAGTTACTTATGTCAGGAGAACATTTTTGCAACCATTTTCATTTCTTGTAAAACCAAATATTCAGATTCATAGAATATGTTTTAACGTTAAAAAAAGCGTACGACATCGGCAATACACAAAAAAAAAGAACTTTAGACAACAACGGAAAATGAACAGATATCCAACTCGTTGTAAAGGCACACAACAAACCAGAGCCAAAACCACGTGCTCCGAGGAAAAATAATCCGTTTTTCTGCACAAATGGCATCTGGTTTGATGTCTGGGTGGTTTCTAGATCTCGAGGTGAGACACGGTGTACAAGCATTTTTTGCATAATATATCTATTTAATATTTTAAAGGTGCTATCACGTATGTTACTCTCATCTGGGAAGGATAGCGAAATGACAGAAAGTATTGAAATTGTTGTTATGTAAGGACAAAATGTCATTGGTTATTTAAATGGAAAAACAATTAATGAGACATGAAAGCTAGAGAATGGAGGAGAGAATACTACTTCTTGTCAAACGTCACATTAATTTGTTAAAAACAAATGCCATGCCCAAGAGGCCCTACCATACCTCTGGCTTAGCCTCGGCTCGGTGTTCAGATATCTTTATTGTTGAATGGCTGATACTGAAATATAGAAATACTGTCTCTACAGTCAGCCAACTTTATTATACCTTATAACAACGTATATGATTGGACCATATTGATCACATGACAATAAAATGGGGGCCGCGGTGGGAGAGTGGTTAAGGCATCTGACATTATGCTACCACTTGCCCTCCACCATTGGGTCGCGGGTTCGAGGCCTACGTGGGGCAGTCGCCAGGTACTAGCCGCAGGTCGGTGGTTTTTCTCCACCACTGAAACCTAGCACGTCCTTAAATGACCTTAGCTGTTAATAGGACGTAAAACACAAACAAACCCAAAGACAATAAAATGTCGTGTTTCACTCTCACGCTCGAGTTTTCCCTAACATGAGTCATCTCTAGAACATTAGTAAGAGGTATCTCCTCTGAGTTCACAGTGACTGAAGCAGACAACAGAGGCTAACACGCTTGATAATCTATTGTTCTATTTCGGTATAATAAACAAAGTATTGCTTCTTTGTTAGGGAAACCTTTTTTCCCTTCGATTAATTAAGTTTTGTTCTAGGTTTGTGCTCATGAACCTTGATTTTAAATCATCACGGGGAAACAAAGAAGCATGTTTCATTACGTCGAGGAGAAAAAGTAACTGTCACCGTTAAGGGAAGCACTTAGACCAGCGGATGATACAAAGACAGGACCTTTTATAAAACTTTTTTTATCGAGATGTTCAGTCATCCGCATATTGCCTTAGAAAAAGAGCTCGCAAGCGTTTTTGGTTTTTAATGATTTCTTTGTAAAAGGCGCCAATAATTTATAGAAAAAAATGAAGTTCTTTTACTTTAGCAATAACTTTCGTTATCGTCATGCCCACTG